TGTGGTAGCAGATGCCCTTAGCCGAAAGGATAGTGCAGGTCACAAAGTGAAGAACCAGATGATAACCATCCATTCCAACTTACCCATACAAATCGGAGAAGCCCAGTTAACAGCCCTCAAACCCGAGAACGTGTCAGATGAAACCTTGAGAGGGATGGAAAAGTAACTTGAGATCAGAGGCGACGGAGTTCACTGTTTCATGAATCGAATCTGGATTCCCAAATCCGGTGCATTCAGGGAAATAGTCATGGAGGAAGCACACAGAACCAAATACTCTGATCACCCGGGTTCGGACAAGATGTACCAGGATCTCAAGAAACAATACTGGTGGCCAAACATGAAAGCTGAGATAGCTACATTTGTGGGCAAGTGTCTGACTTGCACCAAAGTCAAAGTCGAACATCAGAAACCTTCAGGTCTGCTCCAACAACCCGAGATTCCCGAGTGGAAATGGGAGATGATTACCATGGACTTCATCACCAAACTACCCAAGTGTTGTAGTGGTTACGATACTATTTGGGTAATTGTAGATCGTTTGACAAAATCCGCTCACTTCATCCCAATTAAATAATCATACAAGATGGAGAGACTCGTGCGAATCTACATCCAGGAGGTAGTACGTCTACACGGTGTACCTGTATCCATTATCTCTGATCGAGATTGTTGGTTTACCTCCAGATTCTGGCAATCCCTTCAGAAAGCCCTTGGAACCAAACTAGATATGAGCACGGCGTATCATCCTCAGACCGATGGACAGAGTGAGAGAACAATCCAAACCCTGGAGGACATGCTTAGGGCGTGTGTCATTGACTTTGGAAAGTCGTGGGACACACATCTATCCTTGATCGAATTCTCATACAACAACAGTTACCACACCAGCATTAGGGCCGCTCCGTTCGAAGCCCTATACGGTCGTAAGTGCAGATCCCCTCTGTGCTGGGCCGAGGTGGGGGATACACAGTTAGCCAAGAGTCGAGTCCCCGACAGTGCTCTCACTGGTCCTGAAATCATCCGCGAAACCACCGAAAAGATCATTCAAATCCGTAACCGACTGAAAGCCTCACGTGATCGTCAAAAGAGTTACGCTGATAATCGTCGGAAACCACTAGAATTCCAGGTTGGAGACCGTGTCCTGTTAAAAGTCTCGCCCTGGAAAGGCACTGTACGCTTTGGTAAGCGTGGGAAACTTAATCCAAGGTACATTGGACCCTTTGAGATCCTCTCCAGGATCGGTCCAGTTGCCTATAAACTCCATTTACCTCACGAACTCAGTAACATCATCCTGTCTTCCATGTTTCAAATCTCAAAAAGTGCCTATCCGATGAAACCCTAACAATTCCTTAGACGAGATCGAGATCAATGAAAACCTCAACTTTGTGGAGGAACCGATCGAAATCATGGATCGAGAAGTCAAACGTACAAAACAAAGTCGCATCCCGTTAGTGAAGGTTCGCTGGAATGCCAAGCGGGGACCGGAATTCACTTGGGAACGGGAAGATTCAATGAAACAGAAGTATCCACAACTCTTTTCTGATCCATGATTTGTATCTTGTCTTGTGTTTAAACTTTGAATTTCGGGACGAAATTCCCTTAACGGGGGATAATGTAACAACCCGAAATTTCGTATCATTTATTGTAACTCTTTCGTAGTACAATTCGCGCAACCAATCGTCGTTTCCAGATTTCGATTTCCGATCTTCCGTTTAATTAAGTCATTATCTGGTACACATTTAAAATGACTTAATGGGTGTCTTAATACATTTAGAAATCATTTTAACACCCAACTTTAGTGATCGGAATATTTCTAGAAATTACCGTATCGGGTTACGGTAACTCAATCGGGTACGACCAAAAGCCTCGTCTAACACCGGTATCGGGTAGAATTCCACCGTGTCCAAAACTTAAACACTATATAAACGTGTTTAAGACTCCATTTGAAGCCTTTGGTCAATTTCTCAATTAACACTCACAACCTCTCTCCTCAACCCAAAATCAAGGTCCAAAACAAAGATTTAAGGCTTGAAATCAAAGAGGTAACACCCCTAACTTGTTATTCAACCTCTCTAGCCTTTAAATTTGTGTTTAAATTGTGTTTTGGGACCAAGAGCATGAGTTTATGGCCAAGGAACTAGCTTGGGCCGTAAACTCCAAGAAATGGGGTTTTTAAGCCCTAAAAACCCTTCCTTAGCATGGTTGGACATTAGATATGACTTAATGGCTTAATGGAAAGGACTAATAGCATGTAAAACATTGGTTTTGAGGGACAAAGGTGAGTTTATGGCCAAGACACATTCTTGGGCCGTATACTCATATTCAAAGGGTTTTTGAGCCAATTAACCCTTCCAAATCATAGTTGGGACTTAGATATGACATTTAGGCTTGCTAATCTAGACTTGGAACACTTTAAACATGATTTTTGGGTAATAAAAGTGAGTTTACGGCCAAGACATACTCTTGGGCCGTAAACTCCTCTTAAATGGTGATTTAGTGCCTTAAAACATGTCAAAATGCTTTCAAACTCAACCAATGGCCTTGTGGTAAATCCTAGATTCATCTAAAAATGATTTGGAGACCTTAAACACAACATATACCCTACATAAGTGAGTTTACAGCCAAAGAACTCCTCCTAGGCCGTAAACTCCTATAAGTGTGGCTAATGATGTCTTAAACCACCCTAAAAGCTTGGAAAGATTTCTAGAATTGCATGTGAGTGTTTTAAACATCAAAAACTAATTTTTCAAGAGCATAAGGAGAGTTTACGGCCATAGAACATGCCTCTAGGCTGTAAACTCCTAAAAGTTTGTAAAATGGTAACCTAAATTCATAACAATGCTTAGAAAATTAGTTAGAATCACATGTGATTGTCCTATATAGTTCAAATTAACCATTCTTAGCCATGGGTGAGTTTACGATTGTAAACTCTAAGACTGTGGCCGTAAACTCATGTTTTAAATGATGTAAATTCATTCCAAGTGTTCCAAGGCATTTTAGATAATCCATTCTAGCAATCCCCATGTCCATTTGAGCCCTTAAACCATCAAAACCACACCCACATGAGTTTACGGCCGTAAACTCATGTATGTGTGTGTTCAATAGTTGTAAACTCCTTAAAATGTTTACTCTTGGGGAGTAAACTCAAGTCCCAAGTCCCTAGTGCCATTACACATCCGAAGATGTCACCCGGGTCACTCCAAATGCTCGTTTTGAGGTGTTTAACCTCTTTGGAGTGTAATGTTCCATATGATTAGTGAATGTATCTCTAATTGTATATATATATATATATATATATATATATATATATATATATATATATATATATGGACATTATATCATTTTACATAGGGACATCGCGAGTAATCAAACCCCGAACCAACGTCTAGTATTCAAAACCGACACGTTTCCGAGTCCGGTGAGTTCATACCCCTACCCCTTTTTCACTGTTTTCACTGTTTTCAGGGGGGGAACACAAGCAAAGTAAAAGGGAATTCTTGTACTGAAAACATGTTTTCAAATGTGTGTTTCATATTTCATATGCTTTTATCACTAATTACCATAACTGATAACCATTTGTATATGCAGAAAACGTAACATCTAATTGTGAAATAGGTCTTTAAACTGCTATGTTGTATATATATTTCACAAATGGTTTTCCACGATTTATCAGTTAAAAGCATGGCATTAGACATTTGAACATAATACCTGTACACTGTTTTGTCCTCGGTAACACTCCATACACATACGCGAGTGGAGGACTATCATATTATTACTAGTAAATTTGTTAATCATGTATGATTGGAGACACTTCCTCGGAGAACACTGCACCAAGATACGCGAGTGGAGGACTACACCCATAACCAGAATCTCTGGTATTTAGGGAGTGTGACTTGAGTGTATAGATCTATACGGGGCTGACTACCCCACACCTGGCTGCTAGCTACAACCGAACCGAAATGGTTAAAGGGTGACGAAAGTCATAAGCATGTGGACTACTTATTGCCACAGGTTTTAGTCTATTGTATGGTTATGGAACTCGCAATTAGGATAACAGAGATTTACTTATAGTAATAATGAACCACTTTATACATCTTTTACATCTTTCGCGTACAGTAACTAACAATCAGGAAAGTACGGGACTTTCCTGGGGAAAACATGGAACATAATCATGATTACATCTTTTACATCTTTAACATCGTTTACATTAGAAACCAACATGCAGGAAAGCATGGGGCTTTCCTGGGTAACACTTACATAACTAGAAAGAATAACAATTTGATAACAATACATCTTTTACAATTTGTAACATACAATAAGGAAAGTATGGGACTTTCCTGGTAACACATGATAAGTAAATAGAACAGTTTAATCAGTCAGATTACCAACTATACATTTTCACATGAAGAAACATGTTTTCAGTGTACAAACTTACTATACTTTACATTTGTGAAACAATAACCAAGTATTAAGAAAATATGGGATTTTCTTGGTGTTCATAACATTTCAGAAACAGAAAGGAAACTCGAAACATTTTCACAAACAAAAACCGCTTATGAACTCACCAGCTTTATGCTGATTTTCAAATCGCTTGTGTTCTCAGGTCAGCGTTAGAACAGGTACCCGAAGATCCTTTTGCTTGAAGACGGAGTACATGAAGATCCGTTTCATTTTGTCTATATATACTATGTATCACAACTATAAAAAAAAAAACTTTACTTTTGAAACAACTGTAAAAACTTTATTATGTAATGTATGGTTGCTTTACTTTACTTACTATGTGCATTGGATTTGCTACTCAACGTGGTAGTCAACCCCGGAAATGTTTTCCGCCTTCGGTTTTCGGTGTGTGACAAATTGTTTGAGAAGTATATCTTCGAATTAAGAAAATTTTTGCAACAGAAGATCCGAAGATAGTTGAGAAGACGAGACTGGCTTTGTAGATAATTCTTTGAGCTCCTTTAACAAAGTGATGACCTCCATAAAAAAAAAATTTCACTTGTAGAGATTTAAGATACTTGAGGACTCAAACTTTCATACAACTTGGCAAATTTTGTCACAACATCACATATAATTTCAACCTTCTGAATTAGAGAAGCATATTTTGTTCGAACACATGCAATCTCTTTATCCATATTTTGACGAAGCTCTTGAATTTTGAAGTTGACATCTTCATGAACCTTCTTGACATCTTGGATAAACAATACATGACGTTCCTTGGTCGCCATTTTCAATGCCTTCAAATCTCCTTCAAATGTGGACTTCTGAGAATTCACCCTCAGCTCATTGTTTTGATCACACAGATCAACCTTCTCTAAAATACGAGACTTAGAGTCTTTGAGCATACAAGAAACTTTCGAAGTGGTCCTTCCTTCTATCAATTTTAATAAACCATCAACTTTTAAACTTGACACATAATTACCTCCCCCAAGATCTGCTTGTGATTGTATAATGGACTTCAGCTTTGTATTCAATATTTTAAACTGCTTCATTGTCATAAGCATATGATCTGGGAAATCATCTTCATCTTCATCAAATACCAAATTCTCAAAAGTACCTCCACAACCTTCAAATTCATTCTCAGTCTCTATAAATATTGATTCTTGAATTGGTGAAGTGGTTATGGGTGGATCAGTTGATTGAGAACATAAAAGAGAAGTAAATGGATGTTTGATGATGTTATCGAATGTAGGGGAATCTATGGTGGAAGTAATGGGTATGACAGGTGTAATTTGTAGAGGAAAAGAGATAAATGTTTCTTAGGTAACATTCGAAGGTTTACCTTGTTCATATTTCTTCGAATCATCCTCACCCATGATGACATTTGCATCCGTGTTAGATAAGTGTGCAAGAATGTCAGAAGTTTGTGCCTCCTCAGAAAATGACTAGGCAATCGAATCTTCGGGTGCTATAACAGTTGTTTGTCAAGGAGTAGAAGTATCTTTTTGGAGATTTGCTTTAGGAGTTTCTGGACTCCTTTTATATTCATCATCTGTAGATTCAGTTGAAATGGTTATCGTATTTTTCCTCCTCTTCTTCTTTGAGATATGTTTAGTCATATCTTTAGCCCTTCGTTTCTTTGATGATGGAGAAACAGGCGCTAGAATTTCACGAAATAAGATTCCCTGATGAGTAACCTATGGCTTTCGTACTACATTAGAGATTGGAGACCTACTCTTGTGCTTCCACTTCATTTTGATTCTTCGAAGAACACTGGTCTTCGAAGGAATACTTTCTTTTTCTTGAGTTTCCGAACCAACTGGCTTAGTTAAGGTTGTGTCAGCAACCGAAACTTCATGTATCATTGGCACTTCAGTAGTGATTGGTTGCTTCTTTGGAATCTTCGTAGACTTAGACTCCTTGATTGGTTTTTTAGAAGAACCAGTTTCAGTCTTCTTCGTACATTTTCACCTTGTCTCCTCCCTTTCCAATAGAATCCCAGTGTCAATAGTAGTATCAATTGTTTGAAAATAAGTCACTAAGATTGTATTCGTTGGATCAAATCGTTTGAGCATCACATCAGGAATATGAGCTACAAAAGGAAACTCCTCAGCATCATCAGTTGCATCCTTCGGACAACTGTATACATGAGAAACTACTTTTTCCTCATCATTTTGTACCGAAATCCCCTACTTCTCGTAAAAGTGCTGCAGAATCAATCTCCAATATCTTGCACATGAAATTCCATGAAGAGCATTCGTGTTTTCAATACTCTTCAGAAATTCTTTCCACAGTTGAGTAGAATAACCCACTTGTAGATCATAATAAAGCCCTACAACCATGGCATATACCTCCATTCAACCCTTGTCAAGACCTACCGTTCTTCTAGTCAAACACCTCAAGAAAATACCAAATAAGAAATTCCAAACACTAGGAAGACCAGAGTTCTTGAAGTCACTGATCTTTGATAATTGAGGTTGATGGACCATTTCATTAAACATATGAACGATTTGAGGAAAGGTAAAATTAACATACGGTGGGGAATTAGGGATTTACAAAATCTGACAGAAAAGCTTCTTGGATAATCTAAGATTTTTATCACTCACGGGATTGAAAGTAAATACATCAAAAGCTTTTGCACACATAGCAGTTGATCCGGCTTGAGAAAGCCATGAAAGTGGAACAGAAAAAGAACCGAACATTGCTTTTGATAGAACCAAACTCTTCAAAGCAACTATTAACGTCTTGAGTTCTTCAGGGTATTGAGGAACATTAGCCTCCACTTGATAATTCGTACCCTGAATCTTCATAATCTGTAAAGAAGTAACATCATCAATGGTATGAGAAAGATTAGCATCAGGATGAGCAGAAGTCACCATTGTTAGGGTTTGAAAGCTTCTTGTATATTAGAGAGTAATTGGGAATTATTGTGTTTGAAAGTGTAAACTAATAATGAACCCTTGAATCCCCTTTTATATGTAACCCTAGATTTTGAAATAAAAGCGGGATCTACATTTAATGAAATCTGATGTGGCTCCGAGAAAACCGCGTCATGATGATGATAAAGTGACCATGCCTGATAAAGTAACTGTCACGTCTCCTCAAAACCCAGACAGAATACAAAACGTCCCCTCAAACATGTTGGTTTGTTTGCCCCAATGGAATAGTAACCATCGGAAGCCTTCGTATTGAAGTAATTCTCTTTTACTTTTGGGTTTTAAAGTAAAGTCATTTGCCAGATGTTTGAAATCATCAGCCTGAGTTAGTGTTACTTAGAACCTTAAGGATTTCGTGTGGGCAGTGTTCCAAAGAATTTAGATGAGAAGCAAGAAAAAGAAAATTTTGGAATTTAGTGATGTCAAAAATTCAATTTGACACGAAGACAATTAAAACCCCGGAAAAAGGTTGCTTCGTTAATCATCAAAAGAGATGATCAATAGCTTGTGTATGTTCCCGTGAATTACAATTGAATACTTGTAAAGAAGTATCGAAGAGCTTCTTTTAAAACGCTTACTAGGTGGCTTAATGAATTTCGTTACATAGCAACCTAAACATAAGGTGAGTAATTGTAACAGAAATTACTTGTTTGACCAGTGTAGTTAGTGACAAGATTGCTTTGGAAAACTTTTAACTGACTTTGAATTTTGATTAAAGCTCACATGGAAATCATATTCAAGAAAAAAAATGTGTATTGGATCCTATTTGGTAACAAACATCTTGGGTTTCGAATATTTGATCAAGACCACTCATAAGAAATGAATATGATTTGAAGTTTCGAATGTAATTACAAAAACAAATGTTTTAAAACCTGGAACATAGTTCCCCGTCAATTCCTTAAATGTTTAGAGATTTAGGTTTCACTTTCATCATGGTCTCATGATGTCAGATCATAAACACAGATTTTTGATATGTCTAGGTTTCAATTGGTTTGATCAGATACCACTTGGACATATGTCTTCGTGTGTGATTGTCTAAGAATTTTGAGATGAAAAAGATTGGTAGAAGACACAAAATGTACCTCTGTAATATTTGGACCAAACAGTAAACTCTTAACTCATGTGAGAAGAGTGAGGTAGCTCAGAAGACTAATGTGAATACAAGCCTGATTGGGAAGAAATCTCCCAATGAAAATTTTCATTAAGGCTTTCAAACACACACATTGAGTCAATAGAGGCTTTGGTCAACATGTTACAGCATGCTTCTAGGGACATCTTAACTAATTCAAAAAAAAATACCTTACCCTAAAACTGCAAGCATTACACCAAATGAATCAGCATGAAAATCTACAACAAAATACGAAAAAAGAAAGAGTAATAAAATAATTTAGTTGTTTTTGGATTTTTTGAAAAATAAAAATAAATTTTCTTTTTAATTTTTAATTTTTTGAAAATACAATAAGAAATTGAAACGTATTTTTTGCAAACATACGAAATTTAATCAACCCCTGAAAAATGACAAATTTACGAATTCGAAGGAGTCAAAGAGTAGACTATGAACAGTAACCTCTGAATACTGAATGACACTCCTTTTTCTTTGATTTAGTGCCTCTGAACCATTCCTGGTTAACGATCATTCTCCTTTTTCGCATGGAACGGAGTTTCTATCGATCATTCCAAGTCCTTCCAAAATTCTTACAAATGACATTCCATCTAACCGTTTTGTGAAAATATTAGCTAACTGATTTGTTGTTTTCATAAAATGCACTTTAATATTTACATCTTCCACATGATCCTTGATGAAATGATAATGAAGAGCTATATGTTTAGTCTTCGAATGTTGCACAGGATTATGAAAAAATCTTATGGCACTTTTAGAATCACAATATAATAGAATATTTTTCATATTAATTGCATAATCACGCAATTGACTTTGGATCAAAATTATTTGTGATGTACAAGCAGCAGCAGTCACATATTATGCTTCAGAAATTGAAATGGATACACATGTTTGCTTTTTCGATTGCCAACTCACCAATTTACCATCAATCAATTGACAACCACCACTTGTGCTTTTTCTATCAAGATTACAACCACCCAAGTTTGCATCCGAATACGATTGAACAAAGAACCCAGTTTTCGAAGGATACCACAATCCTAACAAAATTGTTCCCTTAAGATAACAAAATATATTCTTCATGGAAGTGAGATGTGGTTCTCGAGGATTTGACTGATACCTAGCACAATTACACACAGAAAACATGATATCAGGTCAAATAGTATTAAGATAAAGTAATGAACCAATCATGCTTCGGTAAAGAGTTAGGTCAACTGTAGGTTTATCTAACGAAGGTGTCAACTTTATGCCAGTTGTCATATGAACTCGTACTTTCGTGCTATTCATCAATCCAAACTTCTCTAGCAGATTCTTTGTATATTTTTCTTGATTGATAAGAATACCTTCTTTGTTTTGATGAATATTCAACCCAAGAAAATTATTGATTTTTCCCATCATGCACATTTCAAACTTGTTTTTCATCAAATTTTCGAATTTACTAGACAATGCAGGGTCAGTTGAGCCAAAACTTATATCATCAACATAAATTTGAACAAGAATTAGATGATTCCCAAATTTCTTTCGAAATAAGGTGGGATCAACTGATCCTTGTTTAAATTTAGATTGTTTTAAAAACGAAGTAAGTGTTGCATACCATGCTTGTGGTGCTTGTTTTAAACCATAAACTGACTTATCTAAGATATAAACATGATCAGGATGTTCTTCGTTAATAAAACCTGGGGGTTGTTCTACATAAAAAGTTTCTTCAAGCTCTCCATTTAAAAATGCACATTTCACATCCATTTGATAAACATCAAAGTCTTTGTGAGCTGCATAAGCCACAAATATACGAACAGCCTCGAGTCTTGCAACAGGGGTAAAAGTTTCTTCGTAATCTATTCCTTCTTTTTGTGAATAACCTTTAACAACAAGTCTGGCTTTGTTTTGAACAATGTTTCCATCTTTGTTGGTTTTATTTTTGAAAATCCATTTTAACCCGACAATCGAAACATCATTTGGCTTAGGAATTAATCTCCAAACCTTGTTTCGTTCAAATTTAGATAATTCAGATTGCATTGCAACAACCCAATCTGAGTCTTTCATTGCAATCTTAATTATCTTTGGTTCGATCTTAGAGATAAAAACATTGAACTCTTGATGAGTATTTAATACCTCATTCTTTGAACGAATTTGAGCTCTTGTTAAGACTCCCTCTTGTGGATTCCCAATTATTTGATCCTTTAGATGATCTTTTGTCCATTTTTCCATTGGTGGATAAGCTGGATCAAATTCCAAAGGTGCATCTTCGTATAAATCATCATTTTCTGAACCTGAAATTGAACATTTATCATTAAAATCATGAATATTTTCATTTTGTTCAAAA